TTTTTTTTTTTTTTTTTTTTTTTTTTTTTTTTTTTTCGTACATTGATTAATTTTCCGAGGTATTTAAACATACGGTGGTCCTCCTTGATGTCGATTAGTCGAGACCATTCGTTAAACTTTCAAAGAAAAATATTACTTTATAGGGAGTTGCTAGCGTAAAAATATTTTTTTCTTATATGGTTTGATTTATAATTTGATTTTTATTTATTTATTTATTTACTTGTTTTAACATTATGTTGATGTCAAAGAAGCCGATATTAGAGAGAAACCACCGTACGTGATAGAATTGATTTTTCTATAATATTTAAAGGTGTTGTTTATCGTAATCCAACTTTAATTATCCACGACAACGATTTTTACATAGTATAAAAATCATATTTATGGAAAACCGCGTTTCTTTAAAAAAAAATCTTACCTGTTCTGTGGCTTTGGTACAGTAGCCTTAATTAATCTTATCCGGTTTATTCTAATTGTAAATATGTAAATATAAAATACAGTATATTAAACCTATTAAAAATTGATAATATTCAAGTCAATTAAAGCAATATCATGCATTTATATTTTTTAAAAAAAAAAAAAAAAAAAAATAGCAATAATAAAATACCAGATTGCAATAAAAAGTGGCAAATAGGGCGTCACTTGCAATCATATTATTTGATGTGGCCACACGTTATTTCGATATTTCGATTGAAGTAATCACATCATTACAATTCGATATAATATTTATCATTTGTATATTGCACATACTGTACATTATAAATATTTGTTCTACCTCTGTTTCGAATAAAAAAAATACTTACGTATATGTGATCTTTATTTTAGTTCATGATTAAAAAAGGATGATTCTTTAATATACTGTGTGATGTATTACTGTAACCAAGTTCCATCTAATGGTTTAATTTATCCAGGAAAGCGTAATACGATCCCTCGACGTAAGTACTGGCAAAAAGATAAAACTTATACAATTTCCAGGTTGTAGAATTCGTTTCGGCAAAACTGTTCAGGGTAACCAACCAATCACTTATACTCAATCCTTTCATGTTGTAGGTGGTCGAAGCGGTGTATTCAACTTCCCAAACGGGATTTCCTACACTGTTGGCAGTTGTCAGATTAGAATAATATTGAACGTAATCTTGGAGTAGACC